TTCCGTTACTTCTGATGAGCCATTTCGTCTTCATGTTGGTCATTTCATCTCCATGCCGAATGCGTCAGTTATTGCCAATAGACAATTTTGACTATGACAGAAGGACAAGCTATATGCTCAGGGGCTCATCAACTCAAGCGTGAGGATTATATCTCCAATTTGGACTTGTTCCGGATACATTCCACATGGATTCATAGTCATGAGTCTATTTTCTATGCTCAAAGACTGGACCAATTATTATTCCCCGTAAGGGCTATCAACCGAATACTTGCGCCAGTCGGGATTCAATTATTATATTTATTTTGGAGTATCCCATAAGGGATAATCATTCAGATCAGAAGCTATTCATATGAGCTACACTTGGTCTATATTACCCGGAAGATTTATTACTCGGGAGCATGTTACACGCGTCATCCTTTAAAGGGTGTCGAAGGCATATTTTTTGGCCTAGGCCTAATATGTCTGCAGCCCATATTTTCAGGTGTGGCCTGTCACGTTCTTTTAGGGACTTAGGCACTTTTTGCTTAGGCCAAAGTGCGCGTGATCAAGTGCCCAATACCTTAAAATCCTTTTATACCGCAGTTACTCAACTTTTTAGGAGTTGGTACAATGCATCTTAAAAGGTGTCAAACAGTAAAGCTTTATATAGCTGGCCCGCTGACTTTTTTATATAGTCATGGTGCTGTTTGGGTTTTTAAGCAATTGATTGGATACAATATCATTGCTTTTTGCCACGTAAGTGTGCATTTTTATTGACCAATATTATGGCTTAGGCTGATTATATATTGTGGTCATTTTTCAGGCGGTTGGTAAATCCTTTATGAGTTTATTTACTCGGATTTTATACCACATATGCCATATATTTCCAGGTGTGGTGAAACCATGTGTCTTCTAGGGACTTAAGTACATCTGTTAAAGCAGTGTGCGCATGGCGTATGCCCAATACTTTGGAAATTTCTTTATTCACAATATGCAAGCTTCTTTATAGCTATTTTGCTATATCACTCATCATATTTTACAAAGCGGTTGGTATATCACTCGGATCATGTTATTTGGAGGATTCACACCGCATATGCTATATATTGATATCAAGTCACTTGGTTGATTACGATTATCAAAACCACTCGGTTGGTTGGATTATTTATTCCTTGACTATATGCTTGGTTTGTTCAATTAACCACATTGTCGGGGGCTACACCTATTAGGTGTATCTAGTCGGTGCACCTGACTTTATTTTCCAGCCCTCCACAGTCTTCAGATTTGGTAAAAGTACTCGGGAGACCATGACAAAGATGATTGAAGCACTCGGCTTTGGAGTAATCTGGTTCGAGAGAAGATTATCTTTTCGACTGCGAAGGTCTCAGGGGCTACTGTGGATATTGTGGGTACCCCATACCCATACGGCATGGTTATCCGACTAGTCATAGGGGATAACTTATATCTATGGAATATGTAATAGATCATGACTCGGGTATTACGTTTCCTTGTATATTACGGAACGGCCTAAAGTCCTGGTTTGATAATATTGTAAAGTAGATTTAGGAAACCGATACCGTATTGGTTAAGGTTTCTATCTTGTAATCCTGCCCCCCATCCTATATAAGGTGGGCAGGAGGCCCTCTAGGGGGCAGATGACATAACCTGATCATCAGATCAATACACACCCGGCGGATTCAAATCCCCAAACAGGAGTAGGGTATTACCTCTCATTGAGAGGGCCTGAACCTGTCTAAATCCTTTGTCTCCGCATCCATCCACTTTTAGGTCTCGTGCGCTACCCCCTTTTATTATTGCCGAATTCATGTTTCGACAACAAGAGATGCCTTTGTGGATACGGTTTGTTTCCATATGCTTATCAGTTGCCCCAAGGTGATCGAGCGATGCCTACTCCAGGTTTTCAACCAGATGGTCGTAGTGATCTTTTGACACCTAACGCGACAGTCAACATGGTCATGATAACAACAACCGAGACTGACAGGATTGCCGTAGTCACCCGGACGACAACGTCTAGGACTAACAAGATTAGGGCGACAACGGACAAGGTTAACGACATCATGACATCACATGGCGACGACGAAACTCCAGATCCCAAGACTTCCAGAGGGCCCGAGGTTGAGGCCGTAGGTCCGGGAGTTGAACCTCTGACTACGATAATCCCTCATCGACTTCGTCATCGTCAGGAGGCAGTTCTTGCAGGTCACGAGAACGCCGTCCATCTGTTTGTCACGCCCGGAAATTCACTGGTAATTTCTGGACTTATTTGTGCATAAAATCCTCGTCCAAGAATCAGCCGAGGTACACAAACTGACAATTTAATATACAAATCCATCATAATAATAACGTTATATACTTACAAAAGAATAGAAAACAGCAGCGGAAAAACAGTCTAGCGATGGCTCCAGCTCCACTCCCACAGGCAGCTCAACTGGGGTATAAGCCAAACGTCTTCTCCTTCTGGATCCTTTTTCTTCAACTGAGGTTTGATTGATTATTGCAAGGTGAGTACATGGAATACTCCGCAAGCCACATAGCAAATATGCAAGTGCACAAGGATACCAAAAGGATGGTATATTATAGGGCTCATTTGCAAAAGCAGCATTTAGCAAACATTCAGGAGTAGTAAAACAGTAGAGTAATTAATCATTAATATTAATCAACACTAAACAGGCTTGTACCCACTCAATTTATGACAGGATAAAGTTGAATTGTTAGTTGGCATTCTGGGATGTAAGATTGGTTCTCTACCTTCTTTGGGATTACTTTTGGGCACCATATGGCCTAGAGTGGTGGACTTTGCTCTGTTAGTAGACAGCATAGAAAGAAGGCTGACAGCATGCTCCATATTTCTGCCTCATGGAGGAAGATTAACATTGATCAATCCAGTCCTTTCATTAATCCCAACCTACTAATGTCCTTATTGCAGCTACCAGTTCTAGTCATCAAGGCCATTGACACAGCTCGAAAGAACTGTCTGTGGAGGGGGAATAACCCTTCTTCTACAAGGAAATCTCTAACCTCCTGGGACAGGGTGTGCACCCCTAAAGAGAAAGGAGGTTTAGGAGTGATCAATCTGAGAGTTCAAAACACAGCGCTCCTCCTAAAGCACATGGTCAAATTCTATAATGGTGCTGATTTACCCTGAGTAAAGCTGATCTCACAAACATATTATGATTCTAAAGTTCCACACTTGATCGTGAATAAGGATTCATTTTGGTGGAGGGATATCACATCTCTTGCAGACATCTTCAAGGGAATAGCCAAATGTGAAATCAGGACAGGAACAACTGCCCTTTTCTGGAATGATCTATGGAATGATGATTTTAAATGCACTAGCTACCCCAATCTTTTTGCTGTGACCATGTATAAAACTGATTCAGTGAAAGCCATGTGTTCAAGACCTTTAGAAGATTCTTTTACCCTACCCCTCTCAGATGTGGCCTATTTTGAATTTTTGCAGCTACATCAATCTGAACATACAGTCAGGAATGGGGGATGCTTGGAATTTTATCTGGGGTTCAGACAAGTACACAGCTAAGAAATTTTATAAGCTTAACTTTTCTGCGTTACAACCCTCCAGACCCATGATTTGGTTGTGGAAAACAAAATGTGTCATGAAGATAAAAGTTTTTGCTTGGCTCCTGTTCTGTGACAGACTCAACACAAGAGATATGCTGGATAGAAGACATTGTGCCAAAGAAAATGATGACCTCACATGTGTTTTGTGCAATGCGGATTGCAGAGAAACAAGGTTACATCTTTTCTTCTCCTGTCCGTTCAGTATCAGTTGTTGGCAGCACCTGGGAATTGAGTGGAATCATAATTTGGAGTTTTTCCAAATGATCGCCCTAGCAAGAATCAAGTTTGCTCAGACGGGCTTCCTGGAGATTTTCTTTTTGGTAGCTTGGCACATATGGAAGCAAATGAATGGTTTAATCTTTCAAAACGTTCAACCCTCCTTCCAAGCCTAGAGATCACTTTTTGTCAAAGAAGTTCTTCTGCATATATGCAGAATGAAGGATCCCTTAAAGCAATTTGTTTTTAATTGGGTACAAACCATATAGTCTTTCTTGCGGTTTCCTCTTGTAACTCTGTAACCTTGTAAATATTTTTCAATCTTTATAAAATTACAATGTTGGGCAAAGCCTTGGCAGTAATTCCGGTAAAAAAAAACACTGAACAGCACACCCATGCTGCACAGGCCCAACCATCCTGAATAACCATACCCGGCTGTACAGATCTAACTCCAAACCAGGAGCTAAGTAAATTATTATTAGTTATAGCATCAATAATTATCGTGAGAGGTCTTAGACTAATCATGAAAAACATTGCTCAACCCGTCCATGACCGCGGGTACGGCTATTCGAATAGTTTTACTCTGGCCAGAGGTTTACAAATTTACCCACAAGACACAACTCCACAATATGTCACCATATCATCATGTGCCCATGCTGAACATGTCACCATTTGTATAGTTGTGACAAGACCCCTCACATAGCTCAACTCAAAGCAGTGCACCTTTCCTGGATCATAATCACCCCCTCAAAAAACCAGACGCATGGACTCCACAGCGACCCCCACGGACTTCTCGCCGCTTCACAGTCTGGCGCACCAAAATGAGCCTTGCTATACAAAGTGTCTAGCCGTTGCCCATTCTGACTTGTCGTTAGTATGGTTAATGTCTCACAACAGTAGCTCGTGAACTGGTCCTTAATTGTTATGAGCACGACCATCAAAACCATGTGCTCACAACCCACCATTAATCAAGTTTTAGTTCACAATTAGTTAATAACCAATCACGATTGACCATCGTGAGCTACCATTAAATATCCATAAGTCATAGTGAAACATGATTTATCTCATTAATGAGCTATTGTTTCTAAGCATGGCTAAGCATCTATTATAAGCATATAGCTGAACCAAACCAATATATAAGGTTTAAGCTAATCAAATTATAACCCATACGAAAATAAAGTCATCTTCGGCCATAATTAATTGGGAAAGGCTCACCACCCGATGACATTCGAAAATAATGTAGGAGTTCAAATAAAACAATAGCTTTAAACGGGTTCAACATGATCAAAGGGTTATTTGGGATCTGTGTGACTTGCCTTGCAATAATCGGTCTCCAGTTAGTCTTCTGGAACACTTCCGATGCACTCACGAACCTTCGACACAACGGAAACGACAAGCTAACACACAAAATGAGGAAAAAGACTAAGAAACTCCAAATAAACAGTACATAAAAAGTAAAAAAACATGTAGATCATTATTTTAGATGAATTATGAGACTTGAACGGCCTCATTCCGACTTTATATGAATTAGTTATGAATTTTACAAAATTAATTCCAATTAAAGCCTATTAAAGAAAAAACTATTCCAAATTGATTAAACAATTTACAAACGATTTATAACTGAGATTAAAGATTAAAACAACCTCCAGAAATTATTGGAACGAATTTAGTAAACGACATATAGTAAAAAGAACTAATATGCCATCGAAAAGGGATAACAGGATTTATATTGATTTTTGGATGGCTGAGAATAAACTTGACCGAGTTGACCAAGATCGGATGGCTCGGATTGATCTGGCAAGCGAACCTCAACGAGTCAATTCTACGTGACACGGGATCACCCAAATGATCAACCGAAACCAGCGAACGGAACCGGCAGCTCTGAACGGCTCTAAACTAAAGGACGACTCAACGTGGATGAACGAACGAAACACGAGAAACACCTCGTTCGAACGAACGAGCTAACGGGTCAACTATGGCTGCGGCTAAACCGGTGAGCTAGACACGATTCACGATAAAGCCCTGGTACTACAAACGATAGGTCGGTAGGAATTTAGGGATGCACCTACGGCTTTGCAACTCAGCTACCGGGCTACGGGCAATGAACAAACCACAACATCGACGACTCGGGATAGCGGTGGTGTTGCATGGTCTGGGGCAGCGGCTAGGGAGCGACGGTGACACGGTTTAGCAGCGGCACGATTGCGGCAACGACTCGGCAAGGCGCGGCAGCGGCAATGACCCAACAACGACTTAGCAAGACGGCTACCGAGCGGTAGCAATGGCTCGGCTGAGCCGGCAATGCGGCAGCGGCTACGGTGCATTGGCGAGGCGGCTAAGCGGCAAGCAACATCACGTGGCTAGGGTTAGGGCGACGGCACAGCCGGTAGCGACGGTGCACGGGCTAGGGCAGCAACGCGCCGAGCAACAACACGATAGGCATGGCTGTGGCAAAGCGGTAAACAGTGGCAGCGGTAGCGATGCACGACAGCGGTGGCTGCTACAAGCGGCTCGGCAAAGCGACGGCAACGCCGCACGACGTGCAGGCGCAGCAGTGGCGACATGGCAGCGATGACGCAGCAAAGGCGATGCCGCAGCAGCGGCAACAGCAAGCGACACGGCCGACGTGGCAAGGCGGCAGCCGGCACGGACTCTGGCAGCGGCGCAGGGCTTGGACAGCAGCGGCGACACTAGGCGGCGGCGTGCAGCAGCTGTGGCACAGCGAGCAGCGAGGCGGCGGCATCTAGTGGCACAGCGACACGACAAGAGATGCGCATGGCAGCGGCACAACAGCGACTACACGAAGACATGAACGCAGCTACACAAAGATTAAACCTAGGGAACGGAAAGGAGGCCTCACCGGGGAAGATCGAAGAGGAAGACGGCGACGATTCGGTGGCAACACACGATGATGATGACGACGCTAGGACCAAACAAGATTAGATTAGAATAGATTTTTTTTTTGCGGGGAAGATTAGAATAGATTAAGTCCCTAGGGATAAACTACACCGGTAAACGACATGGGAGAGAGGAGAGCTCACTGGAGAAGATGACGGCGATGACCAAGACGACAACGGCGAGGGGTGACGACAAGCAGCAGCGGCGGCTAGGGTGCAGGAGGCGGCTAAACAGGAGGAGGAGGAGGCTAGGGGCGGCTGCAACAAAAACAGGAAACAGGAGGGGAGAGGACGGCTTATATAGGGGAGGATTGAATAAGATTAGGTGGGGCTGAGGGAGGCACGGCAGAGGGGGAGATGGATTCCTACTTGGAACGCAAGGAACCATGCCGGGAAAACCTAGGGTTTGGCGGAGAGATAAACTCGAAAATGAATCCAAATTCGCGCCGGATTCAAAGGGATAAAGTCAGATTTTGGGGGCCATAGGTAGAGGAGGATAAGAGGAATATTTCCCCTCAACCAATTTTCGAAATGAGCCACACTATCGGCCGGATTTGATGGAGGAGGCGGCGATGCACAGGCTCGGGACGGCTGGCTCAGGCTCTGTCTGGCGCTGGAAGATGAACAGTAGCGTGGGCAGGAGAGGTAGACTTTTTGCTGGGCTGAAAAGAAAAGAAGGAAGTGATAAGAAATAGACTTCCCCGAAGAAGAAGGAGACCTGGCTTTGTCTGGAGCTGGAAGATGAACAGTAGAGCGGGGACGAATAGTAGACTTTCTGCTTGGCCGAAAAGAAAAGAAGAAAGGGAAAAGAAATAGACTTCCCTGAAGAAGAAGGAGACAGGAAGGAAGCAGAGATAGGCAAAGAGGAAGGACGGGCTGAGGACAACAGATAGACTTTTCCAGTTTCAGCACGAAAAGGAAAAGGGAATTTAATTTACTTTTCCAATTAAATTAATCACTAAAATAATGCTTGAATTGTTAAAAATACTTCCAATTCTCGAATAATTTCAAGAAAAATTCAGAAAGTACTTGAACACTATAAGTATTTAAAAAATTATGAACAGACCATTTAATGATTAATTTAATATTTAAATAATTGCTGAATTGCTCTTTGTATTATTAAAATTAGTAATTGAGCTCTGAAAAATCCGAGAAAATTCCAGAGAGTATAATTAACCACAGAGAATTTAATAAAAATTAAATTCAGCAAAGCTTTATATTTAGGAAATTTTATTTCCCAAATTTAACTTCACTTGTAAATTAATGAATAATTAATATAAATTCTAATAACAATTTATAAATCCTAAAACGAAAATCAGGATGTGACACTGTTACTCTGGATTCTCTTCAAATGGCCAAGTTATGACTATAACTGGACTTCGACTAACGGTGTAGCGATTCTCCCACTACTTATGCAATTTGTTAAGTACAACCATACACCTGGTCTTCGCCTAGTGTGCTTGTTGTGTCATCATCTACGTCAATTTCTGTAAGTGTTTATATGTACAATATTTGTCCGTTGATCCTCTTTTCTTACATCGCCTCGTCTTGAAGTCAGTCCTATTGTTCCTTTACGCTGTTCTGACAGAGCCTCCGAGAAACCTAAGGGGATTTCGGCTAGGGACGCCCAGAGTTGATAAGGCTTTGTTAGATGCTGCAGAGCCAAACGACCATGTCAGAGTGCTCACTGGATGTGTATTAACTAAGCCGTGTAATCGAGAATTGGTTTTCCCAACTTCACGGCTGGGGGCTAGGATTTGCCATCCTCAGCTTGGTTCGTTATAAGATTTAAGTTGCCTTTGTGGAAAATGGTTTTTCCAAAAAAGCAGCTGGGGGCTAGGAGTACTGTCGCACCCTGAAGTTCCCCTCCTTGCTTTAAAATCCTTAAAATGAATCCTCCGAAGAAATGATTTAATTTAACCTAGAGTTGAATCTTTAATTAATAAATGCATTTAATAAACGGAATCGACATGTGGAATTTTTCTTGGATTCTACATGTCAAAATATGCTAACAGGATTTTTAGTGGAATTTTCAGAGCCTTGGAAATAATTTTAACCCATTAGAATAATCAAAGTGCAATATTTAATCCCTGGGAATTCCTTTTTTTTTCTTTTTCTTTTTCTCTCTTGTTGGGCCGTCGGCCCATCACCTCCCGCGCCCCCTTCCTTACCGGGCCGGCCCGTTTTCCCTCCTCCTCCCGAAGGCCAGGCCGACTCCCCCTCTCTCCCTCGGGCGCTGACAGGTGGGGCCACCTGTCAGCCCCTTCCCCAACCTCCAGCCGCTCCCCAAGCCGGCGACCGCCGCGCCGCCCACTTTCTCCGCCTTCCCCGCGCCCCCACTCCCGCACACCCCGCCTTCACCGCACCCACGCCCCCACTCCCGCTCGCGCCCACGTCGCAAGATGGCCGGGATTCGAATTCGAATCCCGCCTCTCTCTCTCTCTCCCCTCCCCCAACTTCCCCCGCAAACTTCGGCGAAATCGAGCCACTCCCGACCGTTCCCGACCTCTCCGCCCCTATATAATCCATCTCCACCTCCTCCTCCTCATTTTTCCTTTTTTCGCCGGCCTCTCCCGAGCTCTCCACCGCTCTCGCACCGTGCACCAATCCGCCGCTGGCTCTTCCATTGCTCCGGTCGCCTCTAGCCGCCGCTAGGGTCGCCGCCGCACCGCACCGTCGCCGCCGTCGGGTTCGCGTGGCCGAACCCCACCTCGGCCACACCTCCTCCGTCGAATTCCGCCATCGGAGGCCGCCGTCCGCCGTGCGCCAGTGAGCCTTTCCTTAGCCGCCGCCGTCGGCCACGGTTCCCGCTCGCCGTGGACTCCCTCTCCCCCTCTAACCCCTCTCTTTTTCTCTCTTAGGGAGTCTCGGAACCCGTCGGCCGCTCGCCGTCGTTCCCCGGCCATCGCCGTCGCCGTTCGCCGTCATCTTCCTCCACGCCGGCCAACTCATGGTGAGGCGCCTCTCCTCCTCTTTTCCCCTCCCTCTCCCTCCTAGCGCCGAGCCAGGCCGAGCCGCCGCTTCGGCCGTGCGCCGCCGCCTTCGCGTCGCCGCCTTCGCGCCGCCGCCTCCCGCCGCCGGTTGCCGTCACCGGCGACGCGTGCGCCGCCGCCCTTGCCATGGCGGGCCGGCCGGCTTGATGCCGAGCCCGGCCGATGCCTCGCCACTCCCCTTGGGCCGGTGCCGAGTGGGGCCCGCCTGTCAGTGCCCCTCTTTTCCCCCTTGTGTCACCGACTAATGGGGCCCGCATGTCGGCGCCGCCCCCCTCCTTGATGACGTCAGCCCTGGGATATATTGCGCAATTAAGGTTTTTCTTTTTATAGTAAAAACACAGTGAATCTTCTAAAATTCATAGAAAATTCATCCGAGCTCCGTTTAAGCCCATTCAAGTCTCAGTAAATCAAGAAAAATGTGTAGAATCCATTAAAAATGGTTTTGTTCTCTATTTCAGTAGTCTTATAGCATGTTTGTATTATTTTCTTTGTATGTCGCTTAGATTTCGGCTCTCCCGACGCTCCGGTGTACCTTGAAATAGTCGCCGAGGTTCCTCCAGCAGCAGTGTAAGGCAAGTCATGCTTGTCACTTGAACATGTTGATCCTATATTGCAAATGCTCTACCATTTTCCCTTAAATACTGCATCGTTTTAAAATGTTACTATGGGATGTTTACCTACTGTTACAACCATGCTCCTTTATTATCTTGGGATATAACATGACTAGAGATTGGACTAGGGATTGCTTAGCCTTGCTTAGTTCAACTAGCACACAATGGGGGACTACATTAATGCATAGATATTAGATTCTAGTAATGATGTTGGTTAATGCCACCGCTCCGGTGTCGGTTAATTAAAATATATTAAATGGTGGGCTGTGGGTGCATGGTTTTGATGGTCATGCCCATGGCAATTAAGGACTGGTTCGCGGGATGCCTTGGAAGAACTTATTGTACTTACCACAAGCGAGCGTGGGCAACGGCTTGGCCCGTAGTGTAACTTTCCTCTAGCTGACGCATCCAGGCAAGGGTGGGCGTGATGGAGTTTGGATGGGCCCTGCGACGGCCTATCCGGCTTCCGGATTCACCTAGGCACGAGAGGGGACTGCCCGCTACCTTGCGAGGAGTGGGGGTGAAACCTGAGGTGTGGTGTGCTTGGTTAGAGGGGGTTATGCGAAAGGTCCTGTCACGGCCTCTTTCCGGTATGTCGTGGTGCCATGTCGACGCACGGAAACGTGTCGTGGGGCTGTGTCTTGTGGGTACAGTTGTACACCTCTGATCAGAGTAAAACTATTCGAATAGCCGTGCCCGCGGTTATGGGCGGTCAACCAAATTCACCGTGATTAGCTCACCTTAGTGTAGTCTGATGGAACTGATTAGTTCAGGTGGTTGGTTGGGCCTGTTGCAACGTGGTGTAGCGTTGAACGGTGGATGGTTAATATTGATTAATTATTACAACTGTTTTACTGCTTTCAACTACTGTTTATAAATGCTCGCTTTATGCCAAAGAACCTCTCTAGCTACCCTTTGGTAATATCCTGCATCATACCTCTGTTCTGGTATGACTTGCTGAGTACAGTGGGTAGTACTCAGTCTTGCTCTATTTTTCCCCAACCCCAGAGTTTGGGTATGCGTCAGATGGCGGTTTCTCCGAGGAGTAGGCTTCGTCCGTGCCGTCGAGGATGCCTGTGGAGTGTTGTTTCCGCTGCCGTTCAAGTCAAGGCTTAGCTCCAGCTATCTTTTGTTTTTCCGCTGCATTTATGTAAGACTTTTATAATGTTTGTAAGACGTGGATCTGCATGTCAACTTTGTCGTTTGTGTACCCCGGCCGATCCTGGACAGGGATTTTAATGCACATTCTGCTTGGGATTCTATTTAGGAATTCCTGGGCGTGACAAGTACCGAACTCCGTTTGCTGAGGACAAGTCTGGCGAGAATACTCTTTTATTGCCACACGCAGATTCAATTTATTCTCAAATTTTCCATACATATTATACCATGATACCCTTGATCGTTCGCTCGGGGGCTATTTCTGTTTAATATTTTGTTCTATTGATTTCAGGAAAATTCCATTCAACGTTGTCGAGGACTCTAGGTCTCTATGATCTTACATCAGGATCGACTAAAGCGAGTTCAGCAAATGTTTTGAGTATTGATTTCAGGAAAGTCGGACATTAGAACAGTCAAGTCAAATTTCAGGGCTTTGTCGCACACTTTACGACTACTCGATTACTCAAGGACGGTTGATGGAGCTCGACAAGGAATATGGAAAGAAGCGATGGTGTACCCGCTGAGATAAAATTTCTTGACTTCAATCCAAATTCTCGATTACGATAAGACAGGAGACTTAGTCGCATGCTCCATACCTTCTCAGTTGACATCGTGATTAACCTAGACAAAACCAGTATGGCGCTGTTGATGGCTGTTAAGTACCAAATTAACGCCGTCAATACCTGCATAAAACCATAAAAGTAAAACATTCAATGTAGTGGTAGGGTTTATTTCTAACCATTTCCACGAGTGTTGGTGTATATTTGGATGCAGGTGACGAACCACCAAAGTTGAGACAAAAAATACATAGAGGAGGATGTGAATTAAACATCCATATTCCAGCCTATGGAGCTTTGGACCCAAAAACCTAATGAAACACATTCAAATGGGCCAATTGCAAGTACATTTGGGCTAAGGGGTTATCCACCAAAGCCTATGAGAAAATTCGGAGCAAAATGGGCTAGAAAGGGTTTGGCCGAACCAAGTGGTTCGGCCGAACCCCTAGCTGCGCCGTTCGGCCCCAAACTTCACAGGCCGGCAGTTACCGACTTGCCACGACAGTTTCT